TTTAATCAGTTCACTGTTTTTCCGCAGTACGACAGGGATAATGCTGTCTCTATTGGAGGATATGTAATTACAACAAGCCCACCTCTGGTGACAGTGTATCGCCAGAGAAAGAAAATAAACACCAACATGCCTGCAAAGTCTCTTAGCATTGATCTGCTCTGCCAGACTGTGGCTCACTTAGCTGGAGGTGAACTTCTCATTATCAGTGGAGCTGGCATGCAGGGTCCCACTGAGCGGTGGGGTTGTTTTTAATCTGCACCGGTCTTACCCTTCAGAGGCATCTGTCTCTGCTCTCTGACCGACCGCTGTAATTACTCATGACACATTATCTGATGGGCACTGTGCCCCTGCTGCGCACAGAATCATTCAGGGGTCAAAAGTGAGATGTTAACATATTCTCTGCTGGATTTAGTTTTACAAAATCTTACATTTTAATAAACTAATAATAATAATTAAACCAGAGAGTATTGTTGATTGGATCACAGAAGCCATGATGCTAGTTGGGTATTAAAATGGCCAATTCCCCATCCCTACCCCTAACTTCCAGAGCACTTTCCCCGACCACACCCATATTACAAACAAGCATTCATTTTGATCAACAAGTGCAATCCTACACCGACCCACACGCTGTTGGTAACAAACAGTCATGGCAGTAAATTGCTAGTTTGTAAAATAAATCTAAGGCTGTATTTTTATACTTTCTTTTAAACTACAACCTATTATGTCAATAGAAAAAACTGTATTTGATAATTACAAACGTCTCAATATGAATTCCAGGGCGTAACTTACTGTGAAACACCCCACTGTGAATTGTTCTGTTTTTCTGGGCTAGTAATTTGCTTCACACACCTCTCTGTGCTCAGCATAGTGCTCTATTAATCATTTTTCAAACTGAGTGTTGTTCCACACATCGCTCTCAGTCTCTGTTTCTTGTCTTCCTGTGGCGTGGTTCCAGCCTTTAATAATGTTATTAAGCCTCCTCATAGCCTTTGGCCAACACCCCTGCCCTGCTGGGTTCTCACTCTTTCCTTCCATCATCCAAAGAGATGAGAACAGCAGTATGTCCCCCCGACCACAAAGCAATAACAATACCTGCCTGCTTTTACGATCTCCTCTGAACAAATCCGTCGTGACAAAAAGAAAAAGGATCTCTTCGTGCTCTGAAAAGCAGACAGAATTCACAGGCGGTCCAGTGCATGACATGCTGTACATTTTGTTTATTGGCAATATGCCTTAGTTGTCTATATAATAACAACTTTTCTATAAAACAATTGTAAAAATCCAGAAGCAGTGAGATTTAATCGCATATATTTGCAGCTTTTGCTCATGCTACAATGATTGCACAGAACTGAAACTTCCCTCTTTTCTTTTTGAACTCAAACCATAATAGACCTTTGAACAGCAAGTGTTAAAATGCACGTGAAAACAGGCATCTAGAACATATGTGAGAAATGGGTGGCACCAAATACAATGGATGATAAATGTATTATAGGCCAGAGTATTTTCTTCCAACCATTACAGATAAAGGATTGGGTAAAGTAAGCAGACGAAAGACTCTGCTTTTGTGTGACGAACAGAGTCTTGACTCTCCGTCAAGGTGGGGTGGTTCCATATGAAAACTAGGTCAAGTACTTTGTTAACTACAACATTTAAAGGAGAGCAGGGAAAGGTGTGAGTAAATGTAAACATTAAAATGCATTTCATTCTTAACTCTTTTGACTCGTTCCCTGACTTTTTTGTTTTTGTTTTGATTTCTTTATTAAGGAGTGCAGATTTAACAGACAATACACTTGTTTTCACATTTCCTGGTTTTGGTTTTCTTAATACAGGAAATAGCGCGTTCCCTGACTTTTTACTCATTTTAATCACTGATATTTGATTTTTTTCCTCAGCTTCTCAGCTTCACGGTTTAACTTCTTCAACCTCTTTCTCCTTTCTCCAGTAAAGTCCAGTCTGGCAACAAAGTGTTGCTGACCATCAACACCGACGCCTGTCAGGGGAAGGACAACTTTGTCCGCTACCTGGAGCACGTTCAAGCGGTGGTCACGGTCAACGCCAGCCGCCGCGGCGACCTCACCATCAACATGACCTCCCCCATGGCCACAAAGTCTCTTCTGCTGAGCAGAAGGCCCCGTGACGACGACGCCAAGGTGGGCTTCGACAAATGGCCCTTCATGACCTCCCACGCCTGGGGCGAAGACCCCCGCGGGACCTGGGTCATGGAGGTGGGATTTCAGGGCGATGAACCCCAGCGCGGAGCCCTGAAGGAGTGGACTCTCATGCTGCACGGAACACAAAGTGCCCCTTACATAGACCAGATAGTACGTGATTATCAGTCCAAACTCGCTATGTCCAAAAAGGAGGAGCTGGAGGAGGAGCTGGATGAGGCTGTAGAGAGAAGTCTGAAGAGCTTGCTGAGTAAAAACAACTGAATTGCCGTCTGCATGTTGCCAAATTTATCAATTTCTCTTATTCTTATCCCTCTCTGCAATCTCGCTCGGTCATTCTCCAAATCTCCTTAGTTCTCCCGCTCTTCATCCCCCCCGTACTCTACCTCTCTCCCCCTCCTCAATCTGCTTTTTGTTATCAAGTGTTTCAATTAGCCCCCATCTTTTAATGAATGTTTCATGTAATCCAATCATGATAAAAGTGTTATTAAACTGTTCTAGAGAAAGCAAACCATATCACCTGGATTTTTACACTCTACAGAATTGTACATAGACCAAATAATAACCACTCTTTAATGCTCTTGCTTTAACTGCCCTGCACCTCTCCTCTGCCAACTGTTGTACAGGTTGTGACTGTAAATGATTTTCTGTGTCATTCTACTTAAAGTTTAATATCTTGCAAACAGAGCAGTGATACTTCTTTCAGTTTATATTTTTATGTGACATACACTGTTTATATAAACAAGAATAATATTATGTGATAAAATCTGCAGCCTGTGGTCCTTAGTTCATATTTCATAATCTTTGACGTATGCTATAATAAATCTATTCAGCTGTTTATTAAAGCATGTGAGTGATTTGCAACACAAAACCGAACACAATGAGAAAGAGTAGCAGGTCATTTGTTGTCATATCAAGGGCCAACAATTTGAAAGGGTAAAACCAAGAATTTGATCACAAAATCATAGGCTACTCAAGATAAAAAAGAGCTTACATGTACGGTACATTCCTAAAGAAGTATTCCCCATTCAAAGTAGGCTTACTTTAAAAAAAAAAAAAAAGTTGGCTGTTAAAAAATGTAATCCGAGTTTACACAACTGCGTTACATGTTTTTTAAGAGCAAGTGTCAAAAAAGGCCAACACATTCATCGAACAACATCACAGACCTTGGTCATCACAACCAACTCAACCAGACATAGTTTAGAAAACTAAACAGCAAAGACAGCTATTTAGACCGCGGCGGGTGAAAGCGACAATATTTCACATACATTATAAAACATCACCGACAGAGACCACCACAAACACTGCGCAGTATACAATAGTGCACACGCAAGCCATAGTTAGTAGGAAAGAGTTGTTGTTAACGCCCCCTCTTTGAAGCAAAGTGATTAGCATAATAAAAGGTGTGGTTGAACTCACCTGTTTTGGCGTAAAGACGGCATTTTTTTAGTGTTGTGCTCCGAGAAATCTTCCTTATGTTGCTCCAGGTTTAACTTGTCTTTTCATTGTAACGCATATAAAAAAATATATTGTTTTAACAGAAAATAGTATAGTAAATGAGGCTTTGTAAAGTAGTTGACGCTATTTAATATCACAAAGACCAGAACGGCCTTATAAACCCAGGGTAACATTTCCACGGTAAGTTAACATTTATGATTTTAGCAAAGCATGTTAACTACAGACAGAATGCACCTGTTGGCGACGCAGTATCGCAGGTGTGTTTGATTTGGTTCACTTTGCATTGAATCAGTGATTCATTAAGGTAGCGACAACCTTTGCCACTATGCCCGGACCACAGTCATGTTAACCATAACGATGCAATAGCTCATTGTATAGTATCGTTATACACTTTCGCAGGCCACTTCTTTCACTAAATCCTTGCCCCGCTTCCCGCGGAGACTTGCACCCCCTGACATCCGGCCAGTAAAGTAAACACATTTACCGTTTATCTGTTCCAGAGTCAGCTGAGTGCAGCGGGTCACTGCTGCCCTCGTGTGGTTGCAGCTGTTAATTTGGCCAATATTTTTCACATGATTATTGTCATGTTGCTTTTGTGCTTACTCAGTAACCAATGTGACTTAAATGAAGGAAAGTATCTCATAATATATAATACAATTATCGAATTTTAAAGAAATAAAAAAAAAAAACAAGTTAAATAATACAGTGAAGAGAGTAGCACCTCTGATGTTTTATTTCCATTCACCATGTGTATTCTCTTTGGGCTTTAAGACCTTTATAGGCTACTTAGCTTAATTAGTTCAAATACGTCTTATCTTCTCTGACCCCCCATACTCGTTCTTCATAACAAATTATCTTTGTGTTTCCCTTTTTCTGGAGGAATACTGGTTCATACTAAATGCATGGGGGACATTGTGAACTACTGAAAGTCAAATAAAAACATGAATGAGTTTCCTTTGGGTTATGCTGCACTGATAAAAAAAGTCAGGGGGTGAAGGATCCTGACATCAACATATGTGAATGGGTTCATTAATAGAAAACAAGTAGTGAATATGTGTGTTTAGTGTGTGAAAGCAGAACACAATATTAATCAACACGGTATCAATTGAAATTTGATTCTTTATTTATGATTCAATATATCAAAGCAAGTTAATTCACAGCAAAATAGTGCTGAGGTCAGGCAGTGGCATCCAATTGTAAAAATCTTCTCAAAGGGGAAAATTGGAGTTCTAAGACAGAGTTCAGAGGGGTGGCACAACTTCTCCGTTTTTTATTAATTTTATAATTGTTTTATTGGTGACATGGAGCTTCTTTAAATTTAAAATAAATAAGTTTTCAGACAGTAAAGGACTTATAGCATGAGCATGGGTGTTAGTCGAACAACAACAGTAGTACTTATGAACCAGCAAAACCTATTCTGGACGCAAGACCAGAGACTGCAATCAAATGGAAGAGCATTGAATATCAGAGCAGGAATGTGTAGTTGGTCTTTAAACATGGTTGGTTTCCTTCAGAGACAAACATGGCCTTATTGCAGCAGTTTGAGGAACACTGGTATTAATCAGCATCGTGTTCTTGTTAGTTGACCTTAACCATGTGACCCTGGTGGAGTTGACAGACTCTTCGTGTCAGGTGAGAGGGTTTTCAGTACTTCTTCTTGCTGGACTTTTCGATCATGGTCTCCACCACCATGGAAGTCTCCTCGTAACCTTGAACCTTGCGGCCATTGGAGAACTTCTCCACAGACTCCACCACTTCCAACTTCTCGTAGCTCATGGCTTCTGGGGAATAGGTGCCAGAGCTGGAGCTGTTGCTGGCCCCACGAGGCGCAGGCTTTGGGGTGGGCCCATTGTCATCTCGGCTATTCTTGCCAGGATCGTCAGCTGGGGTTGGAGCCTTGGGGCCAAAGGGTGAAGGGATGGGGCTCGGATCTTTAGGGTTCGGATGAGGCTCTACATTCTTATGCTTACCTTTGCCTCCGTTGTCCTTACCTTTTCCCCCTCCTCCTTTGAAGTGAGGGTTGGGAGGTGGAGGGTTGGGAGGTGTAGGGTTGGGAGGTGTAGGGTTGGGAGGTGGAGGCTTGGGGTCAACTATGGGCTGAGGAGATGGAATTGGAGGTGAGGGTGAAGGAAAGGGTGTGATGGGTTCATAAGGCTCATAAGGGGGCATCGTACCATCTCTGATAGTGACGAAGATGTGTCCGCCTGATGGTGTTGAGGTGCAGAAGCATGGATCCGGGTAGCTGCCGTCGCCGGTGACAAGAACGTAACGCCCCTTGGTGTAGAAGTCAGCGATTGGCTCAGGCTTCTTGTACTTCCTCATTCTGTCTCTCACGATGTTACAAAGAGTATCAAAGGCCTTGCTGATCTGAGCTCCGTCTGGGACATCCTGTGGAGACACTCCGGTGAGAACAGGTCTCTCCTCTCTTCTCTTCACCCTCTCCTCCTTCTCTTCCATGGATGGGATCCCCTTTGTCTCCTCATCCGGTGCCTCTCCAGCGGCACCACCATCTCTTTCCTCCTGGCCACTGTCCATCACATCTTTCGGGTTCAGCTCTTTCTTCTTCAGGACCTTCTTGGCCATGATCTTCTGGCGGGGCTTGATGCTGGTGATATCTTGGATAGCCTGGGTGATATCTAGAAACCAATTAGGTCATCAGTCAGTTGTGAATGCAACACAGCAAAAATGTTCTGGGATGCCAAAGACAATAGCATCTATGTAAGGCTGAATCTTTAGGAGAGAGTGTGGTTATCTCTACTAATGGTGGCTGATTGTGTTTGCATTCAAAGGTGATGTCCTTACCTCTGCCCCTGCTTGATGCAGTGGGTGTGTGAGTGGAGCGGTAATTAGAGGTGAACAGGGTAATGGGGGTGCCAATTATTGCTGAGTTCAACCTGCAGGAAAGAAGGAGGTGAAATGTCATGTACGCAACAACATGTACGCAACAACAGCGTTGCTATGCAGAGAAATCTGGTGAGAAAATCAATCATTCATATGTTTAAAAAAGAGAAACAACAGGTAACTTTAAATAACTCTCATTCAGCTAATCTGCCATTACAAAACCTCTTTCTTTTGTTGTGTTAGAGCACTTGAGGTAAACATTTGTTGTCACCCAGTGCCATCTGCTGGCTGATTCTGCACTCTACATTTACATAGTTCCAACATGTACATAAACAAACCAAGAATTTACATTGTACCACTCAAATGATCCATTTTGTTATTTTAAAACTACAATATTTTAGAGTCAAAAGCTTTACACATTGCTGCTTTTACATAAAATAATGACTTGACAAGAGTTACAAGATGATTATCTTGTACCTGTTAGATGTCGGAAGGTCCATGAAACAGGATTTAGACTTTCATGTCTGGAGATAATATTTACATAACTAGAAATAATAAGATAATACCACCATTTCACAACTTTTTTGACACATAGTCAAACATTTGTGCTGGGGTTGTGCTCTCTGAATCTGGTCCCATGACCTTAAATTAAACAAAAACTATGTTCAGCATCCGTTTAATGAAGGAATTTTACAATAAATCTAAATGTATCATGATCATAATTTGATGAAGCATTTAGATTTGCCTTTATTACTCGGGGTCAAATTGACTGTTTATCAAAACATTTTTAAGCCTTTTTTGAAGTGCTATGTTTCTGTACATGCCATTCTCCAGTCCGGCCTTGCATGCCTGATGAAGCTTGTTTCATTGTATGAGAATCACTGGAGGTAGTGTACCTGTTATCTTCATTCTCGATGATCCTCTTGTATCTCTCCAGCTCATTCTCAAGGGAGGTCTGGTACATGGCCAGGTGGCGACATTCATTGGTGAACTTCTCGAGGGACCGCTCAGCTTCCTCGATCTCCTTGCGCAGAGAATCGATTTGATCGTTGTACATCTGGATCTCATTGTCATAACCCTCCTGTGTACCTTTGATGGTTTGCTCCAACACTGTAGTCTGAGAGAAGAAAAGAGGGGGAAATTACCGTAATTTTCGGACTATAAGGCGCACCTGAATATAAGCCGCAGCAGCGGCATACCACTCTCGGTTCCACTTTTACTTTTGCGCGCTACCTGTCTCAATCTTTTCCGGCCTCCAGCTTTTCCTGCTGGAACCCGCCGCTTAAAGGTGGGGGTCCGCGGAACGGCCAAAGAGCCCATAGAGTTAAAGGTGTTGGCCGTTAGTTGTAAAAATCCATAGATTAGCCGCACCGTTATATAAGCCGCAGCGTCGAAAAATAGGGAAAAAGGCGCGGCTTATAGTCCGAAAATTACGGTACTTGTTACTTGTTGCTAGGGACACTGCTATCGATATTGTGTTTCGCAACATGTTCTCTATCTATGGCACGTCTCTACTGGGAGATGTAGTTTTAAAAGACGTTTTCGTATTTCCCATAATAAGAAGTTGCCAGTATACTGTGTACATCCCTGGAGGTTTAGGGGATAGGAAACACACAAATTTAAAACATATAATTAATAAATGGGTGAAAATTGCTTGGGCCCATAATGGGCAGCATTAATATATATACCCACATGCCAGCTAAGGTCAGAAGAGCTTTATTTAACAGCTGGTCTTATGTTTGTGACCCCTCCTTTTGTTAATTGATAACATTACATTACATTAATTGATAAGCCTAAAACATGCACTTGTCAAGGTTCAGAGGCAAATTTTGCAAATATGGCAGTTGCCATCGATCATCTTAAGATAAGATATACTTGATTGATCCCAAGTTTGAAACATTTGCGTTACATCAGCATGTGTAACAGTTGTAAATATGCAGTGGTGTTTATTTGTAAATCATTTAGTATAATCACACAAATTCTGTGTTTTATATTTAATAATTCTGTGTTCTTTTTTTTTTGATTGTTCAATACCTGACAAGGCCGGAGATGAAATATCTATACATCCTATAAGAGTATAATACATATGTATAATATCAGTTAAAATAAGTGCTTCAACATAGTTAATGCTGGAGGTATGCACAAATATTGATAGATGTCTTGTAATGCACTATTGAGGAACCTGCGACCCAAGTTTTTCATTCATTGCATAACTACACCGTTTGTGAATATGTCAATAAACCTTAGAAAATCTTGAAATCTTGTTGAAAGGGATGTGGCATAAATAGTAATTATCAGTTTCAATTTCACATAGTTAGTAGTTATATCAAGTCTTGTATTTTAGATATTTTTATTTTATTACTTATTAGATACGCAGTAGAATACCGACGGTAATGTTAAGATGCATCTTTCTGTGACTTTTTGTAGGTTTATTGGTCGATCGCTTTATTGGTAGTATCATATTACTATAACAAAAATAATAATGATAAATATCTAATATCCGTCGTAATGCTCATTCATAATCCCGCAAGAGTGGCTCCCTTTTCTATTCAGTTCTCTGTGTTATCTGTTTTTTCATGGCTGTATTTCTTGTACCGTCATTACTTCCTGACGCGAGAACATCTCTGACTCATAAGAGATTTGTGAATCGATAAAGTATTAAGCTTTTGGTATGCTGCGGTGATTTGTGTGTCTTTAACGGCTGTTTAAATGACTTTTCTTAAATGGTTTTTTTTTAATTCACTCTTTGTTAGCTGTTTCTGTAGGGGTTATCGATTATTCTTTTATGTTGTGTAACTTGTTTAGATGGTGTTTCTTTTGCTACCTTCAGTCCATGTCTGTGTTGGTCCGCGCACGTATTAGTTTAACATCGTTCTAACTTGTGGCCTGGATAGCTTTGAGTTTTTTTTACTTGCTCTGTGTGCATTATCGCATTTTGACATACGTCATTGTCTGTGATACAATATCATATGATGGTATTTTTATTGTAAGATTTGTTATACGTTTTCTGTGATTATAATTTTATAGCAATTCCGTGGTGCTGTTGTTGTTTCGCTGAGCCATTTGCTTTAGGCAGCGGTTGAATGGCGTGTGGGGCGGGCGCGCTCCTGAGTTCTCATGGTTTGTCTAGACAGTCTTCTCTACTCCAGGTGCTCTTATAAAATTATGTGACCTACGCCAGCTCACTAGTATCCGATATAGTGCAGTCCGGAACCGTGTATTACACCAATGCCATTATGTGATGGACTTTCAAGAGATAAGAACTAGGTGATCACTCGGAATATTATGAGGATAGAGTTATATATATTTTTTTTAATAAATACGGTTTTTCGGTTCTATGTGTACAATGCACGAGATTGTGATGTGAGATGTGCAGACTTTGAATTGCACAGGGGAATCAATTAACGTATCTTTAGATGCGGATTT